ACCTCCATTGAGAAAATGGCAAACAAACAAAAAAAACCACCACAAGCCGCCCCAGGAAAGAGACAGCCTTAGGAAGCTCTACTCTGGTGAAGGGGTAAATTCATGAATGTCCAAATGGTTTGTTGCATACTGGGCCCACAGATATAAAATACTGGTTCTACATAGATTCCAAACAACCAGTCTATAATGGATTCTGAAAACATAAACCATTTGTAAGATTGGGACTAAGTGTATATTGCTTTATTTGTATTTCTTATTGCTTAAATTACTTTGGAATTGAAATAGAACTAAAAATTGCATCTGGATGTTAGCCATACCCATCAAAGTAAAATCTTAACCCATGAACGTAATTGGGCATCTCAAGTAAGAGGACAGATATATTATGAAATTAAGCCTATCACATAGTTGAATATAGAGGTCTATACTTCAGAACAAATTAATGTGTACAGGATGTCTAGAACTTGATCACATGGAATACGTTGATGTTTCTGCTATTTCCAGGTTAAAACTAAAGGATTAAATTAAGGACATTTAACTAAAAGGTCCAGGGGGTTTTATAAAACTTGAACAACAGCAAAAGGAGAACAGAAAACAACTTCTTGATAAGAAAGGAATTTGTGTGTGTGTGATGTGCTGGAGATGGAACCCAGGGCCCCATGCATGAAAAGTCCACATTCTGTCACTGAGTTCCCCAGAGTCTAAGAGGGACTTTTGCATGGTGCTGTTTCTTCTTTACCCGTCTCTGCCTGACAAATAAAGGCCATGCCTTTTGTTCATACTTCATATTTCTCAACTGAGGCAAATGTTAATGAGTGGATATATACCTCAATAGTTTGTCCAAATAGATGGTTCCTCGTCTTTTTTTTTTCATATTTATTACGATGATGTTAGCATTTCTTTAGTGTTTACTATGTAATACGAACTAAGTCCCAACTTTACACATATGTACTGAAAAAGTTTACACTTAATTCTCTCTTGACATTATTAGTCCTACTTTACAGATCAGGAAACTCCACCTTGGGGAGTTAATTTGTTCAAGATCAGATAATAAGTGATGGAGCTTCAGAGCTCACCTGGACATTCTACAAACTGCCTTTTTCTTTCTCTGTAGATCTTGACACCTTCCAACTGCACCTTTCAAGTGTCACTTCCAGTTGCTAAGCTATGAGAATATTCATAAACAATGTATATGGTAAAGGGCTATAGMGAAAGGGAAGAGGCAAGTTCCAAATGCTACAGGAATATCAGAAACYATACAGAGCCTGAGACCTCAGTTTTCAAGGTAAAAACCAAGGATATCAAGATGCATCAAGGGCTCGGGTATGGCTCAGTGGTAGAAGGCACTTGCCTCGCATGATGGAGGCCCTGATTTAAAAAACAACAAAAGTTTATTCTAAAAGGGTATGGTGGCCTAAACTAATCATCTATCTGGTTTTAAATAAATTTAGGGCCAAAGGTGGGAGAAAAAAAATAACTAGCTAGCTCTTAGGGATCATCTTTTCATGAATCCCCATTGTTTTCAAACAACAACAAAAAATCTACTCAACTTTTCTTTTTTGTAAAATGAAGTAAGTGAAAGGAAAAAAAAAAAAAAGCCAAAAGGTCTTTCCTATATTCCTGTTGCTTCCCCTCACAGGTCTCCAGTGCTAAATACATTACCCAGAAGGATGCTACACACTAAATAGGCCCTTGAAATATTTTAAAAACTTTCTTATCTGTATAGTAAGTCCCATGCTACTAGAAAAAAAAACCACAACAAACCACAACGTGAGCAGTGAGTTTATGAAACCTTTCCTTGTTCACTCAACTGGTTATCCCTTAAATAGCAAGAGGGGAAACATGCATTTTGAAGTCAGTTATTCGGTTTTGTTCCAAGGTACCACACCTGTGTTCTGTGGCAACAAAGGTGGAAGAGAGTGTAATGAAGACAAAGTACAGGAAGGGCAAAGGGGCTTCCTTCAGAGAAAGAAAACAGGTGGATAGTGATTGGGGATTTGCACTTTTGTACTCTTTACTACTAGAAGAAAATTTCAGAAAGATCAACTCCTCCTGCTTTACAAAGTGGCTGGCAACCAACCACAAGACTACTATGAAAATATGCAGGTTTAGGTAATGATCACTGTATACTGAGTTTGTTTTTCAGATATTCTCAGAACCTGGAATTYTAATGTGATCAGTTAATGTACAATTATAAGGCAAGTATTCTTTTTCTTGTAGAAATAAGAGTTTCCTTTCTGTTGAAAGAGTTCAAATTATTTTACTCCAGGTATTGTCAGTTTTGTGTGTATTATTTGGTGGTTGATACTGTTCAAATGCAATAAAATATGGACAAAGCCACTTCTGGAATAAGCCAAGTGTGGTCTCCTTTAGAACAATCAGCATTTCCCACTCCAACACACCCCTGCTTTTCTCATGGGAAATCAGGACATGGAAAGTCAGCCAGTGTCAGAACCAGGAATATCTATGCTACAGGTATAAGTGAGAAGACATTAAGGTAACAGTTTTTTTAAGAGATTCAAAAAAATAGCATTAAGTTGCATTAAAAAATATTTATAAAACCATCTTTTATGAAGTGACACAACTAAGATTCTATAGGATGAGAAGGAAGGTTGGCTTCCTAACAATATTGTAGCACAGCATATGGAAAGCTAGTAAGTTTGCCCTAGGCCAGCATCTTGCATTTCTCATGACCAACCTTTACAATGATCCTGTTATCTCCATTTAATAATGGCACACTGCTAAATGCAGGCCCATTTAATTGTCAAATCCATGCTTTCTGCTCTGCCTCTGTGGTACAGACCAAATTCTGTTTAGAAAATTCATCACTGAACTGGTATTTTATTCACCCTGATGATAAAATATAAACAACTCAAACCAGCATTACTTAGAACAATAAGCCAGGGGCTGGGAGTTGAGATTTTTCAACTTTTAGGGTGAAAAAACAATTAGAAATGTTTTCTCAAGCATTATGGAAATGCCCAAACTTTATAATAAATGTTAGATAATTTTTTCCTTTCAATTTTCCTTTTTGTCCTAATAGACCTTTCCCATTTTTCTGTTTTCATCTAGTTAAGTATATACCCTAAGTATATCTTACAAATTTTCTATCTGAAATTTCAGTACCAGTGTTTAAACACAAGCAAGAGCAGCATCGGAATGTCAGTCCGGATAAAATAGCCACAAAGGAGCCATGAAATCATTACAAACCAACCATGATGCATGCCCTTCTGGTGGCAACAATAATTGGGAGTTAAGGTGACAGTGCTGAACACCAAGTCAGCGTAGAAATACCCGTTAGCATCAAAGCCACAGAAGGAAATATTAAGACAGGACACCAAGTCATGTTCCCCTTCCCATTGAGTGTTTATTTTATAGCTTTTGCATCAGGTAGTCAACTGAAACACATCAACAACAGAAAGCTGGCAGAGCGTTAAAGAAAAGGAGTGATTATCTCTCCAACAGATGTGACAAAACGGATTGAAGTTGGAAACAGTTGCATAAATGAATCAACTGGCAGGTGGGGAGGGCAGGAAAAGAAGTAATGAGCATCTTCCAAGAGGACTGCGTGTGATGGAGGGAAGGCACTGCTTAGCTATTTATAAAAGAAAAGTCAAAACAGACAATGTGTTTCTCTAAGTTACATTCAACACAGCTTTAGAGATGCTCACATATTTGACTCTAAAAAGAAAGCTACAAAAGCCGTCTAAAAAACCAGATGGACGGCACCAGTGTGTCTGTCACAGGTTTACCAAGAATGTTTTAAAGAGGTCATTATCATCAGCAGCCATTTTATAAATAGTACTGCAAAGGTCACAAAGCTGCATGAATTTAAATTATAGGATAAATCTGACTAAATGGTCACTCATTTCAATTTCTAAAATTCCCCCTCCAGGGAATCAAAGTAAGCTCCACTCCAGAGGAGCTGAATTGGCAGTGCATTTGAAACAGGGTTGCTTTCCCTTCAGGAAGCTGCCTGGAGAGCAGTTCACAACAACTTTGCCCTGGGTACATGGATGCAAAAACTTAACGGCAACTGCCCCACTTCCTCTCAGAGTAAATAGCACTAAATTTAAAAAGAGGCAAACATTCAAATCATAAAGCAGAAGCACTTGGGCCTCTTAAAGACAAACTTCATAAAAGGTTACAGTTCCAGGTGCTCCTCATAATAAAGGATTCTGAGACCATAGGTGTGTTTGACAATGACCAATGGGAAAATCCAGCTAGATGATTTACACAGATGTTCTCTGTAGAATTTAAATATAAATTAAAATACCAGCTATGCATTTGGGAACCAGTCTTTAGTTAAATTCTCTAATGCTTTTAAAATTTTATTTCATTTTATTAAAAAAGAATCATTGTCTACAAACTATTTTCTTTCTAACTATGCAAATACAATGAGCAAATCATCTGCAATATCAAAATACTGTTTGGGAAATTACTGACAACACTAAAATTTTAGGAATTTCCAATAGGACATATAAAGAACAAGAACAATAGATTTCTAATTATAGGCATTAACTGAATTTTAATAATAGGGAATAAAATTAAAAATTTAAAAGTCAGCAAGTTTTAAGTTCTTTGATTTTCAATCCTTTAAATCCAATCATCAAGGATTCAGATGCATCCAATATATTAGAAATTGCACAAATGCATATGGATGATAGAAAAGTAATTCCCATGCAATATTTTAAGTGTTGCTATCAGATATATTTAAGTGATTCTTTACAGATTAAAGCTGGGTAAAACCAAAATATATCCTCCCCATTACATTTTAAAACAATCACAATAATTTATCAAGTTGTCATTTCACAGCAATTAGAAAACAGGAGTTGATACAAGTTGAACAAAAAGGTACTTTTTAGGAAATAAACATAGATATAGATATATATACACATACACATATAACATTTTCTTTAAAATTCAAAGTGGTTAATTTGCTTTTGTATTATAAAAAAAATATCTCCCTATGGTCAAAATACTGAAAAAAGCACGAAGGCTGAAAAAAGAAAACCACATTTGCCACTTTAAAAAAATACATATTGTCTCAGTGATTCTATTTTTTGATTATAAAGTTATGTATTATAAGGACTCAGACTCCTAGGACTGTACTGGACTGGATGGAATTCAATCTATCCCTTTCTCAATCTACAGGAAGGACACTCCTAACTCACCCTAAAAAATGCTAAAATATATGTCCCTATTCTGAACTGTTAACCTGGGAAAGAAAACATGCCCACTAGGAAGCAATATACATAAAAGTTTATGAATCTGTGGGAGACTGCATGAATCAGAAAGTTATTCTTTGGACATAAACCAGGAGCTTTTGGAAGTATATAAACTCCTTTAGGCCTCTAGAGTACAGGTACAAAGATGATTTCTCCATAAATGATTTTTCTAGTGCAGGGGATGGTAGCTCATGGACCACATTTAGTATGTCATTTGTTTTTGTAAATAAAGTTTTCTCAGAACATAACCATGTTCATTTGTTTCTAYACTAAGGTACTTTTTCCTTTTCTTTTTTTTCCAACAATGACAGAATCGAGTGCTTATAACAAAGACTTAAATTATTCACTCTCTGGTCCTTCACAGAAGTAGTTTACTGACCCCCTGATCGGTGTATTACTAAGAACTACTCTAGTTATGAGTGAATGCACCTCAAGAAGGCTTTAGCATGTACTCCAAGAACAACTTGGGGTTATTCATGAGTGGGTGAATGTCAAACACCCCACTAGAGTGGTGTTTTACTTTTGAGTGGTGGGACAATCTGTGTTTTCAGCAAATATGTGTAAAGTTAAATTTAAAACAAGAAYACCGCCCCCCGCCCAATATATGCCTGGCTATGTTCTCTTAAATTTCCCTTCACTTGGGGTAAAGAGGCTAAAAATGATTCTGTCATTCCTTTAGTGTTTCTTGAGCTATTTATAAATGTTTGCTGCTAAATAGTGCTCCTTCCTCCCCTACACTTCTCTAAGGCAATCTGCCTAACATGTTGAGTTTGGTGAAGCCTTTTTCAGATATATTCACTTAAACTAAACATATTAAAGACTATTCTTTTAGAAAACATTTCTAAAAGTCTTCATCTCTGTTACTCCAAGAAGAGGAAGAAGGTAAAGAATGCACTGGGAAATTAAACTCTGCAAAATATATTTTAAAAACCATAGGTATAAAATAGCTACCGTTTTTGAATGGTAATGTAGAATAACAGCCAAAAAAAAAAAAAAATCTTTCAACTTTGAAGAGCAAGGTTTCCCTATCTCTAGGGAGCTAACCAAGTCTATTTCCAACAGGGAATCTTCTGAACTCAAGCAGCTGCTCAGCTGCTCATGAATCTTCAAGAGTTCACAGATGTTTCATATTTCAATAGTTGTTGAAACATGGAAGATAAAACACTGGGAAGATATTTATCAAACACAAATTTATATCAAGATAAATTTCTTTTTCACAAAGCTTAAAAGTGGACTTTTCTTTGTTTAAAAAATGAATGGTATGAAACTATATGTTAAAGATGTTTCTCTAATAATACCTTACATTTATATATCACTTTACAATTTTCAAAGTGCTTTCAACATGCCATCTTATTTAGTCCTCACAACAGCCCTGTGAGGTAGGTACAGCAGGTATTATTATCCTCATTTCAAGATGAGGAAATTGAGGCAAAGAGAAGCTGACTTCTCAAGATCACACAGGTGGAAATTGCAGAACAAGGACCAGAAATCAAAAAATTTTGACTCCTCGTCTYAGTACTCTTTTCAGTATTCTGCCTCCCGTAATGAATAATGTACTCTATCAAAATTGAAAGGTTATTGAAATTCATTTCAGTGACGTCTTAACAGTAAAGTTAAATGAGAATACAAGAACAGTAGACCTGATGATTTTACTCGAGTCGACATAATAAAATTGGTGCAAAATCACTTTGTCTAATTACTTGTAACCTTTTGGTCCAAATACATAAAATATGCAATATTTACAGCATTTTCCTTTTTTTTTGTTTTTGTAAATGCAATGCTTTAAAACACATTATAAAGCACCTCAGTAAAAATAGTCTACAGGAAAAAGTACAGAAGTAGTAGGAAAATCCTACCCATACCACAGCTCACTAATGGAGTCATAATATGGAGTCACCAATATCTCAGTTTACAGCTATACAAATAACCCATGATGAAACAAATACTAAATCTGCTTTTTAAAATATTAATGTGTTTAAGTCTTAACTAAAACTTCAGATAATGCCAACATTCTTAGAAGTATCTTCCCAATATTAGATACTGGGAAGACAGGAATGAGAAATACTGCTTTAACTTTTTATAGCATCATTCATGGTTTAACTTGGGATTTAACACTAATGATCACACACAAAAAAAATTAAAACCACCTATATAAATATGAGCAAGTCCAACTCCAGCAGAAATATTTCTTAGCAAACATGATCAAACATTCCAATAAATTTCATGAGACATGGTTCACAAAAACAAAGCACATACTGCCAAACAGTTATTAACACTATTCAGTAGAGGTGAAGTGGCAAATAGATTCATCTTTAAGTGAAAAAATGCTTATCAAAACAAAAGAATCAGAACCCTTCCTGAAATTGTATTTAGTCTTTTGATTAGACCTGCCATGTGTTTATTTTAGGTGATGCAAGTTTTTCCCCCCAGGCAGGAGGTTATAACTCTCACCAAAATTTAAACAGAAAAAAAGAAAAATGCCTGAAACGCAAAACTTCTCAGAACACTGACATAGCAGCCAGTATCTAATTCTTTGATGGTAATGTCTGTTTCCTAACTCAGCTCAATATAAACGGTCTTATACATATAATCAGTGATCTAGGTTGTGAAGCTGAGAACTAAGGTGAAGACGAGATCAAAGTTCTAGTTCAAGAATTTAATAGTCACACCTTGTACTCAGTTCGATTTAGGGTAAATCTTTTCATAGAAAAAGTTTTGTGCAAGGATGTAGAGGTCTCCATCTTTTTCTCGAACAGCATGGGCTCTGATGAATTGGAACTGCTCTAGTGCAAATTCATAGAACTCATTCTCCATTTTCCAAATGTCAGATTGCTGCAGTTTTGCAATGGTTTGTTTTGTGGGGAGTTTCTTCTCTGTGGTTTTCCTAAGATGAGATTTCTTTCCTACTTACAAAGGGAAAAAAAAGGAAAAGTAAACAATTAAGAGAACACACAAAAGATCAAGGCCTCTTTATTTGAAGCGATGGTTTAAATTAATATGACACACTGAAGGACAGGCAAGCAAACTTATATTAACATAATTCAGAAAAAATGAAGCTCTGATCATACTAGAACTGTGATTTATTCTTTTAGAATGTAAATCCTTAACACATTGAAGACTTAATGAAATGTCAACAGTAAAAGTAAGGATTACCATTCAGTAATCTGTAGGCTGTCAACTCATACACTGTATTTTCAAGTGCTTGGTTCTATAAGACCAGTTTATTTTTAAAAATGATAAAATATCTATTGCCAAACTTAATTCTACTTTCTCATAGTTTATATTTGTTATAACCATGTAGAAGCTAGGACATATGTACACTCTAGGACAGGAGTTCCAATGACTACATCTTATCAAAAAAATCTTATCAAAAAAATCAGAATTAGATTGGACCTGCACACATACTTTCAGATATTCCAAACTATCAAGGCTGCTGAATCAGACCTTTAGCAAACTACAGCAGAAGCAGCACATGGTGTTTGTATTATAGTGTCTTAGCCACCATCCCAGCCTACTTTAAAATGGTAGTAAGTAGGTCTAAGGGTTTAATACCTCGTCCCAATGCTTGGTATCTGGCCTTACTGCATATGACACATTTCTAAGCTAGTTCTGAAGTTTAAAGTATTCCATTGTTCCTACAATGCCTTATAATTTCACCTTATACATGTTTATTCATTAAAAAGATTATTTAATGAACACTAACTGTGTGCTAGGCACTGTTTTGTACTGAAAATACTTAACAGAAATAAACAATATACCTGCCKTTCTATTTGTTGTGTTTTACTGAAGTAATTTCAAATAACATATTTTTCTAGTTACAGACAAACAAACAAAAAAAGTTAGGGAAAGCTTCACAAAGAAACCTATCATTGTCATGTATAACTAATTAAAACAAAAAAAACAAAACAAAAAAGAAACCTATCATTTATATACCTGTACGATAGAGCTCTGTTGCACCCCTGAAAAACCGGGGCAAAGCTGCCTCCAATAACATGATAAAATCTTCAAGTTCTTCAGTAACTCCCACTAGGAAGTATTCATTAATTAGGTTATACTTGGCTTGATCCATAGCCCACCTGCTTCCCACATTCCTGAAACCAAAGAAAAGGAGTTAAAAAACTGGCTGTGAAATCTGCTAAGTATCTGATGACCGTGATACTGTATATTATGGAAAAAACAGATAAACACATGTATATCCAAAGCTTTAATGCCCTTTTATTAACATCTTTTGGTAGGCACACCTGTTTTTCACTTCCTTTGCTTCCATCCAGTTTCTGCTCAAAATGCAGTGCTAATTCAGACTTCACTAGAGGATTCTTAATATGAATAAAGTCTACTTTGAGGGCAGTTTTTTAAAATGCACATATATAACATATATTCCTTCTATCTGATTTAGTGAGTCAATATAATTTCTTTTTTTAAATCACTATAACCTTTGTTCAAGAGTTCTTTAGGAAGGTCTAAGCAATTTGTGTTTAGTGCTTATCTTTCTTTCCTTTTTTTTTTTTTTTTTTCTTTTTTTGTGATGTACTGAGAATCAAACCTGGGCCTCATGCATGCTGGGCAAGGGCTCTGACATGGAGCCAGACCCCAAACTTTTTGAAATTTTTATTTTGAGACAGGGCCTCCCTAAGTGACCTAGGCAGACCAAACTTTTGATCCTCCTGCCTATCTCCTGAGAGCTGGGATAATGGGTGTGTGTTACCATTCCTGACTTAGCACTTATCTTAATTTCRGCTTAGTGTTTTTGTTTTTTGCTGAGCATAGTGTTTCTTGGGGGGAAAATGTTTTACCATGAGCTACACCCCCATCCCTTTTTATTTTTTATTTTGAGACAGGGTCTGGGCTAAGTTGCTGAGACTGGCCTCAAACTTGCAATCCTCCTGTCTTAGCCTCTTGAGTCGCTGAGATTATAGATTTGTACTACTGCACCCAGCTGTGTTTCCTGAAATATTTGAGGAACAGAAAATAGGTAAGAAAAGGCTTGACTAAAAATCTTTTATTTTTATTTATTTTGTCAACTAGAGCTGTTAATAGATTTTGCTCTAACATTCTTTAATCCTAGTTCCAGTTTTGACTTTAAGCAACAGTGTACGCTTCAGCTGGTGGCTTCCACATTTGTCACTTTCTTATTTTTATTTTATTAAAATTAAAGGGGGGAGGAATAGGGGTAAGAGGAATTGAATCAGTTGATTTCCAAGACTTCCCCCACTTCTGAGTATGAAACGTACTGAAGAAATTCAATTACAATCTTAGTAATGCCCAGTAGAGAAATAACTCCTTATAGTTTCAAGGCAGGGCTTGGCAAACTTTTTCTAGGTTCAGAGAGTAAATATTTTAGGCTTTGCAGGCTCTGTGGTTTAGGTCACAATTACTCAACTCTGCTAGTGCAGCTTGAAAGCAGCCATAGATAATAAGTAAACACATGTATATGACTGTGTTCCAATAAAGCTTTATTTATAAAAAACAAAACTGGGTGATGTGCCAAATGTAGTCTGTAGGTTTTAATTTGCCAATCTGAGTTTTAAGGAAATGGTTAAAAATTGAGAAGACTTTCTTCCTATGCTTCCAAGTATTGTGTTATCATTGATACTTTGAAATAATCTACCAAGTAGAACCTTCAACTTCACAGAAATCAAATAATACATCTCAAACAGTGAAGAAATTTCTTGCATTTATTATTATGGTTTTAAGGGCTATTTAACATTGAATATGTTCCTATTTTCCCCCTACTTTTGCTACTAAAATGACTTAGAACAAATAAATAATGTACAATTATTCTTAAAAACTGAACACTCTGCACACTCTGAAGAAACAAATTCTTTGTTCAAGATTTTCTACCTTATGTTTGTTAATATACTAAACCACAACCGTAACCTTGGCTCTCTTAAAGTGAAAATCACTTTAACAGTAAAACTAGGATAGGATAATAATGTATCCCCTTAGCCTTTTCTTGATCTAGCTTGAAAAACTAACTGTAAGCTTAGTACAAAAAAAATAAGGTTTATGAAGTGACCTGTGATCTCTAAGAATTTTGCTGGAATAGAGCAAACCAGGACATCAAAAACATAAATAAACAGATAGATAGATAGATAAATAGATAAATAAATACAATCTAGCTTCTGAAAAAAGACTATGAAGATTATTTATGGGAGCAATCTTTTAAATGCATTTTAAAAAGAAACAACAAAGCTAGATATTAATTACATATTATTTCAGTCATATCTTTTACTGACTTCCCTATAGCTAGTGCTTGATCAACACATTCACTTATGAAACACAGATTATAGAAATAATAAGGAATATAATTTAAGCTAACTATATCCCTACCAGCATTCTGAGCTGTGGCCACAGAAGAATGGAATTTGAAGCCAGAGCTTCTCTGGAGCACAGTCTGAGCCGCCCTCAGCTACACATTCATCAAAGGTCTGAAACAAAGACAAAGGAGCACTGGTAAGCCATAAATTCAAGTCTTACCTATCAAATTCCTTAATGTGCTAAGTTATTAAATAAATGAATGGGAGTAGGTGAGGCAAGATAATAAAATAAAAGAATTGGGCAGGTTATGAGAGCATATTCAAGATACTGAGGAAAGTTAAAAGTGGATTTTTTTCTACAACTTTGTTTTATGCTAATGCTTATAAGAATTCTTACTGCATGAAAGGAAATTCTCCCAGATAATAATTTGTTTTAAAAAAGTAAACACTGGTTTATATCACTTTCTTATTAAAGGGAATTATCTATTTGAGATATGACATAGAGATACCAGAGAATAAACTTGGGAAATTTGGTTGTTGCAGTGAAGGATTTACAATACCATCTGTTATTTCTGGAAAGAGGTTTGAAAGAGCAGTAAGACTATCTGTTTTGAGAGAAGGCTTCAAGGTTTTATTTATTTATTTATTTATTTATTTATTTATTTATTTATTTTTATGTTTATTTTTTGGTTGTAGTTGAACACAATACCTTTATTTTATTTATTTATTTTTATGTGGTCCTGAGGATCGAACCCAGGGCCTCACATGTGGGAGGCAAGTGCTCTACTGCTGAGCCACAACCGCAGCCCTGGCTTCAAGGTTTTAGAATCATGTTTSACTCTACTTAAAATAACTCTTTAAGGCCTTCAGGTTGTACTACTCTAACTCAGACAATTTAATAAACTCAGAGGGTCCATTAAAACAAAAAAATCTATAAGAATAAGGCCCCAAATTTCCTAAACCTGGCAAATCACAATCCACCATTTGCTCATTTCTTTTATAGGAGACCTCTGCCATGACACAGTGAAAAGACCCATAACTTGGCTTTGAATGCTTAACCCAGAAAACTTAAGTTCTGTGTTAGGTTTCCTTATCTAAAAACTGAGAGAATAATATTACCTTGAGGAATGAATCAACCACAAAGACTGGGTCATAGTAGGCATTCATTAATGAGATGTCTTTATGTCTGTGTCTCTCTCTCCCCATCTCTCCTCCCTAAGTCAAACACAATGTTTTGTTGGTTCTTGCCTCCTTGACCTTGGTCCCACCTTCTCTTTTCTAAAATAGCTCTTGGTCTCTCCTGACACTAAAACATTCTTTTCTATTTCCTGAACACTCTGTTTTGGCTTCTTTTGGTGGTTCTTAGTGTTTTTCTGAATATACTATCATTATCTTATTTGAATGTATATTTTGGTCCTTCTACTTACTAGGTATTCATCTCAGCCATCTTCACTCTGCCGATTCCCTTCCTCAGCAAAGTCATCAACACTTTCTTGGCTTGATGGATAATTTCTAGGCAAAAGACTTCCAAATGAATACTTCCAGATCACTTATTATCTATCCTCTAATACTTACTGTGCATTTAAATTTTTTTCTAGTGTTTCTTCATATTTAATATTATGGAAGGGTCATAGTGCCCCTTATAACTAGATTTAAGATTTCAGAACATTTCTTATTCTTCTCCTTTGCCTCACGTCCCTGAAGTAATGTCTTTCTTATTCATCTTTACCTTTTCCATCTTCATTTCCATCAGGATCTTACAATATTGTGTGTACTTATTCTTGTAACAGTTTCTTAATTGGGCTCCTTTCCCACCCTTCTTTCTAATCTGCTACGTATAATAACTGGATTAGTTTTAATATAGTCATTTCTAACATCTTCTACTCAGAGACCTTTAATGGCTTCCAGTACCTTATAGGGACAATAGGAACATACCTCAACATTATAAAAGCTATCTATGCTAAGCCCAAGACCAACATCATTTTAAATAGAGAAAGATTGAAAGCATTCCCTCTAAAAWCTGGAACAAGACAGGGATACCCTCTTTGACCACTTCTATTCAAATAGTCTTAAACTCTAGCAAGAGCAATTAGACACACTCAAGAAGTTAAAGGGAATAGGAAAAGAAGAATTCAAACTATCATAATTCACCAACGAGATGATTCTATAGTTAGAGAATCCAAAGAATTCCACCAGAAACTTCTAGAATTAACAAATGAATTCAGCAAAGTAGCAGGATATAAGATCAATACTCACAAATCAAACACATTTCTATACAGCAGTGACGAATTCTCTGAAAGAGAAATTAGGAAAACTACCCCATTCACAATAGCTTAAAAAAAAAAAAMCCTTCAGAATCAATCTAACAAAAGAAGTTAAAAACCTCTAGAATGAAAACTACAGAACACTAAAGAAAGAAACTTAGAAGATGGAAAGATCTCCCATGTTCTTGCATAGGCAGAATTAACATTGTCAAAATGACCATAATACAACCACAAGCATTATAAAGATTTAGTGCAATTCCAATTAAAATCCCAATGACATTCCTCAAAGAAACAGAAAAAGCAATCATGAAATTCATTTGGAAAAATAAAAGACCCAGAATAGTCAAAGAAATACTTAGCAAGAAGAATGAAGCAGGAGGCATCATAATACCAGACCTTAAACTATACTACAGAGCTATAGTATCAAAATCAGCATGGTATTGGCACCAAAATAGACATGTAGACCAATGGTACAGAATAGAGGACACAGAAAATAACTCACATAAATACAGTTATCTCATACTAGACAAAGGCACCAAAACACATTGGAAAAAAGATAGTCTCTTCAACAAATGGTGCTAGGAAAATTGAAAATCCATATGCAGCAAAATAGAATTAAATCCTTCTCTCTCACCATGCACAAAATTCAACTCAAAGTGGATCAAGGTCCTGGAAATTAGACCAGACACCCTCCACCCAACAGAAGAAAAAGTAGGTTCAAATCTTCATCATGTCAGATTAGGACCTGACTTCCTTAACAAGACTCCCAAAGTCCAAGAAATAAAATCAAGAATCAATAAATGGGATGGATTCAAACTAAAAAGCTTCTTCTCAGCAAAGGAAAYAATCAATAATGTGAAGAGAGAGCTTACAGTGGGAGAAAATCTTTACCACACACACACATCAGATAGAACACTAATCTCCAGGATATACAAAGAACTCAAAAAAACTCAAAAAGAACACCAAAAAACCAAATAGCTCAGTCAGTGGGCTTTGTAAAGCTTTAAAAAAGAATAAAACCAAATAGCCCAATAAATGGGCTAAGGAACTGAAAAGAATTTTCTCAGAAGAAGATTATATAATTGATCCCAAATATATGAAAAAATGTTTAGCATCTTATTAGAGAAATTCACATTAAAGCTACTCTATCTTTCATCTCACTCTAGTCAGAATGGCAACTATCAATAATACAAGCAACAATAAGCATTGGCGAGGATGCAGGAGAAAAGGCTCACTCATACATTGTTGGTTGACTGCAAATTGGTGCAACCACTTTGGAAAGTAGTATGGAGATTCCTTAGAAAACTTGGAATGGAACCACCATTTGACCAAGCTATCCCACTCCTCAGTTTATACCCAAAGGACTTAAAATCAGCATACTATAGTGCAGCCACATCAATGTTTATAGCAGCTCAATGCACAATAGCTAAACTGTGGAACCAACCTAGATGCCCTTCAATAGATAAATGGATAAAGAAACTGGTATATATATACAATAGAATATTACTCAGCTTTAAAAAAGAATAAAATTATGGCATTTACAGGTAAATTGATGAAGTTGAAGAATATCATGCTAAGCAAAATGTTTTCTCTGATACGTGGAAGCTGATCCATAATGGGGGTGGGGTGGGGGGAGAGCAAGGGAAGGGAAGAATAGAGGAACTTTGGATTGGGCAAAGGGGAGTGGAAGTGGGTACTGGGATGGGAAAGATAGTGGGATGAGGCAGATATCATTACCCTAAATACATATGACTGSACAAATGTTGTGATTCTATATTGTGTACAGCCAGAGAAATGAAAAGTTGTGTTCCATTTGTGTACAATGAATCAAAATGCATTCTGTTGTCATGTATAACTAATTAAAACAAAAACTAAACTCCTAATTTTGCTTTTCAGGAATACTTCATAATCTGATTTCAGCATGCCAGTCTCACCTTATCTCTTTGTGTAATCTCCATCTTTACCACATGAACCTGTTTAACAGCTTCACAAGCACACCATATGCACTCCCAACTCTGTACCTCTGCTGACTCCATTTTCTTCWCATAGATTCTTTCTTCCAATAGAGTTCACATAAAGACTATCTTTCCAGAGACTATTCTAACCTAAAGTAGAGTTTACTTATTTTCTTTCACATTGTATAAATTAGCTAATATTGCCTTTTAAGAACCTGCTTAGGATCTGGGTATCTATACATGTACATCATAATCAATAAAACTTGCTTTATGTGCCTTTTTGTTTTAACATGTGTTACATTCTGTCTCCTCAAATATCATAAAGACTTGAAAAGATCATGCAGTATGCATGTCCTTCATAGCACACAATATAGTGCTAAACAAACTGCATAATTAATAGTTGTAAGCTGCTACTGGGAAGACAGCACTTTGGGAGCTTAAACTGAGTATTAAAGTCATAATTCTAGTGCAGATAAAGACTAAATTTTTTTCATGAAGCATTTTGACACTCTTTTTGAGTTCTCTATAATTTTTTTTAAAAGTGAAAATACTATGGCTTACATTTAAGATCCAATAAACTCATTTCAGTGAAGATCGTCTGACTTAGATTTACTACTGTAAGCCATTAAAAAAAAAATGGTTTTATCATTTATGTCAACTTAGCTCATAAAAAGAAGTATGTACTCACAATCACTACCGTGTCTCAATTTCCATGAAATCTTTGGCTCAATAAACTGAGTTATGATAGATTGGAAAAAAATTTCTGATTCCATTTCTATTAAATTTCTAACAGGCTTTAGCTTATAGTATGTTGTCTCTGGAACTTAACAGAGCCACTCTGCTTCTTTATGCTTGTATCTAACTAGAGTATAAGAGAGTAAATGAATAAGTTACTAAAGTGTTTATGGATGAACTCACATTTAYCACTATTTTGTGTGTGTGATTCAAAGAC